GGTTCCGATGCCGTTAAAGCCGGGCTGCACACTTCCAACACGATTAAGGACAATTCCAATGACATTTAGACCGGGTCTTCTTATTTCGGTCCGATTGGGGTTGGATATACAAAGAGCGGGGTGGCAGAAGGGAAGCACCTTGAGGATAAGGTGTTTCTTTAGGGCGGGGGTAATGTTAGGATCCGTTAATGACTTGGGAACTTGTTTGGTTAGTGGGCTGGTATAGTTAGTAGGAATTAGTATAAATAAAGGGCTTAGTAGCTCCGAGATTAGGGAGAGCGGTGGTCTCTCGAATACCACCAAATTAGGAGTTCCCGGAGTACTCGAATTCTCCGTTCTATCCTTTACATTTCAGTGTAATTGGGTGTTCTTGGCTGATTAGATTAATAAAATTCCCTCTAATTATTCTCATTTTCTTGCTGTTTCTGGTGTGTGTGAGTGTGATATTGGTGTTTGGCTGATTTTCTGAGCTAGGTTCCTAACACGTTTGTGCTTTGCAAGTTCACAGATTTCACAATGAAAATGTTCTACATCAATTCCTTTGAACAATAAAGGAAACACAATTTTAAGAATGGTAAATGCTGTCTTATATGAAGATGGTATAGCCAAATCTTGTCCTTGTTAGAAGCGAAAGACTCGGAAAGAAATGACAATGGTAACCGATTCTCAGTTCTCTGGTAATATTTAAGCCAAACAGTACTAGAAGTGCACTCACACAAGCAAAAATCAACAAGAAAGGAATGGAAATCATGTAATTTTATTATTCAACACCAACTATGAAAAGTAAAGATAGATCGGAGAATTCGAGTACTCCAGGGACTCCTAATTTGGTGGTATATTGGTATTCAAGAGACCACCACTCTTCCTAATATCAGTTTTCCAAAACTCTCAAAATCACAGCCTCCCGAACTCAGCCCCTTCCCTCCCTTTTTATACTGTTATCCCGCTTGCACTACTAACACACTACTAACTATACTCAACAGCCCACAAATCAAACTAACTTTCTAAATTATTAAAGGATCCTAACATGACCCCCGCCCAAACATTCACCTTGTGCTCAAGGTGAAAACCAAAAAATAAAACTGTTATAGTACATCAACATGGGAAAGAACATTGGTTTGAAAGTCATCTTCATTTCCAACGCCTTGGTCCACCTTCCCAATGAGATTCTTTGAAGGAAACTCTCTTTGAGCATCAATTCGCTGAACTAAAATAGCTGTGGTGTGAGCTGGAAGCAGCCCACTTGAAATTCCTATTTCATGCTCTTTATTGACTTTCAACTTGGTTGTGATATCTCTCTCAAAAACTGCATTTGAAATCTCTTTCCAAGGTGCAGTGAGTACCTCGGTTTGTTGTCCGAAATTAGCCTTGGTATTCGCTCGCTCTCTCGCCACGAAACTCCCATAGACGGTCTCTTCTTGCGTTGATTGGAAACACTATAGTAAATGAGCCTTCAATTCATCCCAACTGCGGAACGGTCGACGACCATCCTGCCATTGATACCAAACCAAAGCATCACCCTCTATGGCCTCTTTTGCAGCTCATATATTCTCTTTTTGTCAATCTATACAACAGAAAATAATGTTCAGCTCTAAAAACCCACTCATTAGCATTTTCTCCAATGAACAGCGGCATCTCCATTCGCTGAAAACGTCGATCCAATCGGTTCTCCCACAGCGTGTCACGCCACCTTGCCCTTTTCCTGTTCAAAACCCTAAGGTCTTGTACCCAACCAGATGGCGAAACTCTATTCACCTTGCCCATATCAGATCGAAAAGCCCAAGGATCAGCCCCAAAATTAACCCGAATCTTGCTGGAAGTGCGACGTCCAGCGGTCACAGCGTCGAAATTGGCCCTGCACACTCCGTAACTCGAAGACCTGGTCTTGCCTTCGCCGAAATTGGCCCTGCACACTCCGTAACTCGAATCCACCTGCCCCAACCATGATGGAATCACGAGACCTAGTCCAATTCATTGCATAATCTTCCCCAAACACGCCTGAATTCCAAGACATTACCCTAAACTCGTCGAAATCAACCAAAACGGCGCCAGAATAAGTCAAAATGGCACCGGAACTACGAGACCCGCTCCAAATCCAGCTGGAGTTAGCCTTGGACGTACCAAAATCGCGAAGTGCAGCCTTGGCGACGCTCAATTCCGTCGCGAATCTGCTGCCATTCACTTTAGATCTAGTCGGTCTAGCTCCATATCGCCAAGATTTTTCCCGATCTTCGACCTCGCACGAGTCCGGATTTGGTTGCGCCCCCACTGGCGTCGTTCCTCGACGTTGACGCTCCAACTCCATCATGGTTCCGCAGTTCGAAACCCTTCTTCATAATTCCAATCAGATTGCGGAACCCGATGTTCAGTGCTCAGATCTGATTGCGACTCACTCTAACCAGATCGCAACGCGTTCGTTGTTGTTCGCCGGCGCTGTTCTTCTAGTTGCGACCACGTATCCTTTGCCGGCATTATTCGACTTTCAACCACCCGAGCTTTGCGGTCCTGCTCCTCTAACAATCGAATGATCCGCTTCACACTTTGAAGCGTCGATTCCATTTTCTCTTTTTTTTTTCCCCGGAGAATCAATTGCTCTGATACCAATTGACAGGAACGTGGTAATATTTCAACCAAACAACACCAGAAGTGCACTCACACAAGCAGAAATCAACAAGAAATGAATGGAAATCATGTAATTTTATTATTCAGCACCAACTATCATCAATTACACTACATGCAACTGTAAAGTAAAGATAGATCGGAGAATTCGAGTACTCCTGAGACTCTTATTTGGTGGTATTCGAGAGACTTGAGTATAGATTTTGATTTGAATTTGAGTTATAACTTGAGTTGAAGTTGTAACTTGAGTTTGTGTTTTGTTGTGTACATTTGAGTTATGGTTTGAGATGAGAATCTTTTTGAGTTTGTGTTTGGGTGGGTCAAAATTTGAGTTTGTATTTAGATGGTATTTTTATAAAAACTCAATGATGATAGAAAATTTTAATAGGGTATATATGTGGGGTTTTATTCGTCTATTCGTTGTGAACGCATAAAAAAAGAATCATCTCAATCGGAATTAAAAAAAATTATTATAGCGATTTTAAGAAGAGAAAAAATACTGTTTATTAACTTGAGTTTGAGTTTAGGAACTTGAATTGAAGGAGAAACTTGAACTCAGATTTTAACCTCAAACTCAAGTTAAAATTTAAGTTCAAACTCAAATTTTACAAAGGCCCCGTTCACTTCACTAATTCGAGTTTAGAATTCGAGTTTTGCTACAGTAAAAAGCTCTCACAAACAATCACATCTAACTTTTTTGCTACAGTAAAAAGCTCTCACATAAAATCACATCTCAACTCGAATTACAAACTCGAATCAGCGAAATGAACGGGCCCAAAATAACTTGAATAAATTTGTACTTGAGTTCAAACCTTTTTTGAGTTTGGGTGCAAATGAACACAATCCAGTTTCCCAAAACTCTCAAAATCACAGCCTCCCGAACTCAGCCCCTTCCCTCCCTTTTTGTACTGTTCCCTCTTTTAAGCATTACTAACACACTACTAACTATACTCTTAACAACCCACAAATCAAAACTAACTTCCTAAATTATTAAAGGATCCTAACATCTTTTGTCCACTAATTTCTTCAAGGTGGTAAAGTCTTTCTTTCTCCCTAGCACGTCCAATTGCCTTCCCCGTACTCTGTTCTTGGAAGTCTCAAAACGAGGGGTAAAAAATCACACTACAATTCAGGTCCTTTGTATGCTTATGGATAGACACAAGGTTGGTGGACAATTTTAGAACATGGAGAACATTTTTAAGGACAACTGTTGAATTTAAGGAAATATCTCCTTGACCAGCCACTGTAGTTAAGGTGCCATGAGCAGTAATTATTTTCTGTTACTTGGACACGGGCTATAGGAAATAAATTGATGAGAGGAGTTGGTCATGTGATCAGTGCCTCCCGAGTCAATGACCCAAGAACCTGAAAATGATATGTCCGAAACACTAAGTGCATGAGAACATGAGTACTTGAGAGAGCCAAAGTATATGCACCTGTTCCATTCCGTTTCTCAATTGTCCCCGACAAGCTTCTCAGCTTTTCAATCTCCTCTTTGTTGAACTTGCCCTGATCCTGAGATGCACCTTCACCACTTGACTGAGTACTAGTTAAAAGTGCTTGACCGTGGCCTCTTTGCTGCCCACTTTTTTCAGTCCAGTTTTTGTTTAGACTTTGTGGTTTTCCATGGAGCTTCCAACACTAATCTCTGGTGTGCCGAGGTTTCTTGCAGTAAGTACACCATATTTTTTTCCTTATTCGCCATCTTTGACCAATCAGCAAGCCCATTATCATTAGCAGAATGTTGTTCAAGGCCTGCAATCTTCATGTTAGCAATTTTTGAGACCTTTGAAATCATTGCTGGCCCCTCTACGACTTGTGGCTCTATCATCATTCGTCTTCTTCCTTCCTTGGCTTGGATCAATGCAATTGTGTCATTTAATGAAGGAAAATCATCTTTTCCAAGTATTTGTACTCGCACTTGGTCAAATTCTATATTCAGTCCAGCAAGAAAATAAAAAATTCTTCTTGCTGCATTGCATTCGGTAACTAAGTTGATGAAGACATGCTGGTGATATTAAGCACAAGTTCTGTACTCTTCCATTAAGATCTCTAAGTTAGAAATTACTTCTGCTTATCATTTGTGTGCTCTCCATTGGAAACTAGCAGTTTCCTTGTGAACATTGGAAATTTGCTGCCCACCTATTGTAGCCGTGAAAATTTCCTATTCTTTATTTTCGCATGCATGGATCCAAAACCTAATAAACAATTTGCAACAGCACATATTTCATATCAAGAATTCATAATATAATGGTCCTTGCTTTATATTCTGAAAGTCTGAAACAATAGACTATTACGTGAACTAGCATCACAAATTCCTTTTGAGATTTATTAGCCGCAATTATGTTTAATCTTATTATTGCAATGTTGTCTCTCTCTAGGCGCTTCTTGCCAATAGTTATGCCCAAAGAAATCCTGAACAATCACGCCAGGTGATTTACAAAGTTCTACAGGTAAATAAGTTCCCTAGCTTTTTAATATTCATGTTATAATTGTTCTCTTCGTCTCTTTTACATGTTTTTTCATTCACAACTGCCCTAGAACTTCAATCTTTGTCTCATTTGGTTTCAAGCAGATTGGTTCAGTGATGGGAGTTGGCTTGGCCATTATATTGTTCGTCGGTTTTGGAGCTTTTTCTAGCTTGTTCACCACAGATTCAGAAGTTTTGGATGTTGCTTTGTCTGGCTTACTGGTAAGGAAAACATGTTCAAATCATTTACCAGTTGCACACCCATGTGATTCATTCTCCATCTTGTCTGGATTTCTAAGAGTCCTTGCGTGCCAATAGTGCAAGTCTGTTCGGCAATGGCAGCTTTGGGAAAGGATGGGTAAACGAATTAATGTCCTAAGGAGTTTATAATATATATTAGTAAATACACACACACAGAGACAGAAAAGATCTTTTCTAGCAAGACATCTTTATTCATTCATAACTCTTGGGCTTTTCCTAGTAGATAAACATTTAAATACAGATAAATTGAGTAACAAAGTAAGCTGGAAACCTCTAAAACTGTCCAAAGGATTTGCAAATTAACCTAATAAATTTACCATTGAAATCTTACATAAGTGCCGCTACTTAAGTTACTAGCAAGCCCGTGCAATATTAAAAACATCAAAATTGTTATAAAAAGAAGCTACAGATCTAATAGAGTGGCGGCGACTTAATCCTTGATCATAAAAGTTCCTCTTGTTGTGTTTGGTTTGCAAAATGGGTATCTTAGCCATGACAGTAAGTATGGATCAAATACGTTGAGTTTGCAATATGCCAATTGTATTTGATGATCATAATTGGTGGACGTAACAGTGCTTGGCATATTGGTTGTCAGTTTGTTGCTGGATCTCAGCCAGTAAATGCTTTAGCATTTGTCATTGATGGACTTTATTATGGAGTTTCAGACTTTGAATACGCTGCATATTCCATGGTACTTGTCTGATCACCTTAGTGAATTATTAACCGTTTGATATGTTCTTCTCCTTCAGCCTTTGATTTTTGTTGTGCAGGTGATAGCTGGACTAATTTCTTCCCTTTTCATGCTTGTGGCTGCTCCTTCGTTTGGTTTTGCTGGAATCTGGACTGGGTTGTTTCTCTTCATGACAGTGCGCATAGTAGCTGGATTTTGGAGGTATTACTAATTTCTGTTTTGCAATCAAGTTATCTCGTCATTTTATCATCAACGGTGCACTCGGTTATTAACTCTCAAGAGTTTGTTGGAATTTGTGTCTCATTAGTTCTATAATTCTTCCCTTTTTGTTGGTAGCGCCAAAAGCATGCAAACTTAAATATGAGGAAGCCCTTCAACTCTAAAAGGGCGTCTAACGAATAAAAAATAAGAGAAATATCACTCAAGGTGGTAAAAAAAAATTGTTATGTCACTAATAAAAAATAAACAATTGTCATTCAATTAATAAAGAGAAAACAAAAGACCACAATGGCAACCAATTATTTAGAATGGCAAAAATAATAGGCTTGCACAAAATCATGGCAAATACTCAAATACGAGGATGGGATCTGTTCTTTGTTCCCAGCCTACCATGATTTTTATGCACAAATACATGAATCAGTTAAATTGTACTGAAATTCATTTGCCTGTTTGTCTAAAGTTAATTCTATTAGGATCCAAGTTATCTTCCAAATTTTTTGAAACAACTGATGTAGCAAATGAGTCGTTAAAATTTAACTTTTTATAAGTAGATTCACCAATTGAAAATAACAATTCAATTGTCAAATCACCCGGTATAAAAAGATCGGTAAATTACTTGCGTCTGTATCATTATCCTTTGTCGAATCACTTATCTATTACAGTTCACTACTGCATATCTCAAGGCAATTGGATGTAGAATCAGACTCATTTGCTGTTCAAATATTTGAAAATTAAATAATTTTGAGGCCATATCTTGTCGAACGTTTGTTTAGTAGTTCCCTTGAATTCTACACACCCCTTGCCATTAAAATGCTGATTTACTCCCACCTTGAACATCTTGCTGATAAATTACACTTCTTTTTAGGTTGGGCACGAAAAGCGGACCTTGGAAAATGGTTTGGGACACATTGGAGCAGGAAACCGAGTGAGAATTCTGCCTTTTGGATTGTTAGATAGGGATTAACTTCTCCAGATTCAATCTAAATCAAGAGTAACCGCAGCTACAACGCTGTTCTTTCGAGGTCAGCTGGATCTGGATTGGCTTTTAGTGAGCTTCTAACTGCTTGCTGGAATTAATATGTGCTCAGCTCAGCAGTTGAAAAGCTTAACGAACCGTTTATCTTCTATCAGTTACCAGCTTCTTCATATCTGATTCTTTATGCACTTCCTGCGCATACAACTAGTTTCATATTGATTAGATACCTCAAATGTGCTAGAATTGTCAATCATAAATTGTAAATATTTTGGCGACAGTTTCAGAGGATTGTGCTCGGTGCTCTTGTAATGAGGGGCCAAAAAAATAGGGGAGAGATTAAATTGTTAGGGTACTGAAAGATTATTGAGACTTATTTGAATGGACTCAGAAAATCATTTAGCAGTTTTTAGTTTTGGTGGTGATTTGTAAATTGATCTCTATGTGGACGTTACATTGAGATCATTGAAAATGCTAGACTAACCATTTTATATTTGTCTATTGCAGATGAGAAGTATTGCAACCCTTTTCTCCTGCTGGAAATTATACTCGTTTTCTTTTTCATGACGGAAAAAGACATACATACTCATAATTTAATGGTTCTTTTTCCACCCCACGGCTCATGGAAGGAAAAATATTCACTCGAAATAGAACCTGAAAGCCTTATGTTTCAACTAGTATTAGCCAAGCAAAATACTAGAAGATACATAAAGCAGATTCATTAACATGATTCCCACATAAGAATCTTGTGGAAATATTAAACCACGTTCGTTTTGTGGATTCTGAGAACTTGAATTGAAAAGATTAGCAAAAAAAAATTGAATTTGAATTTTGATTAGAAAAAAGAAAGAATAGACAAAACACCTCATTTGTTTTTGTTAAAACACCACATTCGTCCCTCTTATAATAATAATGTCCAAAACATCTTCTGTATTTATAAGAACATACCCAAAATACCGTCCTAAAGCAACTAATTTTTTTAAAAATACCAAGATGACATTTCCCGGTCTTTATAAAATCCTATTTATAACATTGTTAAGCCTTGATATTAAATAAAATCAATCTTAGAAAATGAAAAACTCTCAAAATAATTGAAGTATTTCTTTGATTGGAATATTTATTTAAGCATTTTTATAATTTTTATTTAAATTTTTAGTTAAATCATACCTAAAATAAAATTTAATATAGATTTAGAAGGATAATCATAACATTTTAAATAATTTAAGGGCTGTTCGATTGCCCCAAAAAACTTGAAAAAATACCACTCGAGTAAAGAACTTGAGCCAAGTCTTTGTTTAGCAAGGACTGCTCGAGTGAAGACTCAAGTTTACACTTGAGAAAAGCAACAAGTCTTGAGTGCAGCTCCACCCCCTTGATTCAAGTTCAAGTTCCACTGTAATTGTTGACAAAAATTACTTTCCCTTATTTTAATAATAAATTCCAAACAAAAATAATTACCTCCCATTCATTTTTAACTATTAACAACTCAAGTTTAGGTGTACTAAACACATACTCAAAGCAAATTCTCAATTCAAAAATTAACTCAAATGTGCACCTCTAAATATAAACTCAAGTTACATCTTCAACTCAAGTTATAACTTAAATTCAACTTAAAATCTACACTTAAATCACCATAACTTAAAAATACAACTGAACAAGCTCTTAATTATTTCAGAAGGGGTTTTGAATATGTTTTTATAGACAACAGGTTGTTTTGGGTATTATCATAATAAAAAAGACGAAATTAAACACAAAAAGTGTTTGAGGTATTATTTTTTTTAAAAAAATATTATAATAAAAAGTTTAAATTATGATTTAAACTTTAAAAGAAACGGACCTTAAAATCCCCTAAACACATTTAATACGGACAAAAAATACAAAAAGTCTCCTTCAAAAGTTCTGGTCATACCTCTGTCAAGCAAGTAGCAAGGCTAGCTGTCACAAAAATAAATAAAATAAAACAAAAAAGCTAATGTAAGCTAGCTAGATAGTTTCACGAGACAATATTTGTATCTCATTTTTCCAACAGACAAGGCTGCACTTGTGTAGCAACAGCTCATAATTCTTCACAGTTATTCTACTCAATTACTTCAACACTCTTTGCTTTGTCTCATGCAGATACCAACAAGGAGAGTACCTATGCTGGAAAACTGTTAATTTCCCATCTACTAATTTTTTTTTTTGACCCATCTACTATTTCTAAGCTTGGTAAAATGTTCATAAGTGGAGACATGTTATAGAACCCTACCAAAAGGATATTTTATCGTATGTCGTATAATTCTCTTTTATGTATAAATACTAGTTTAAACCAGGCGTATATGCCTGTGGAATTCTATAGAAAAATTTAATAGCATTATCTATATTTAACCCGTAAATATTTTTCTTGTATATTATTAGGAGGGAACAACAAAAAAAGAGCAAAAAAGCGAGACAAATGAAAATTGAAAGACCAAAAGAAGTAAATAAAAAAAAGAATGGAGGACAAAAAACAAAAGCAATAAAAAAAATCATTGAACGGAACGTTTTGTTAGTGAGAAAAAGGGTTTAAAATAACTTAGACAAGGATATGTACATTAGAGAGAAAAATATAATTATGAAGGTCAACTTGGAGAAAGGAAAAATAAAAAAATATCTATAATGGAGCAAAAAAGATAAGAACAGCAAAAAGGGGAGACAAAAAGAAGAAGAAAGACGAAAATAAAGACAAAAAAGTGGAAGAAAAAAAAAAGCAAATACAAACGCAAAAAAAAAAAAAAAGGATAAATTTTATTCTTACTTATGAACTTTAGTCTTTTTGTCACTTTGTCTTCACAACTTTGAAAATTGGTCTGCGCATTTCTTGAACTGTGAAATGTTATTAACTTTGCCCGTTCTATTTATTTGACTTACGGATTTAGAGATGTGGCAATTATTAGATGGATAGTTTAATGAATTATTTGCATAAACACCCCCTGAAGTATGTATCATATTTAAAAATGCCCCCTGATCTATCAAAACGCATCCCTAATCTTTAAAAAACTTAATAAAATAACAATTTTACTGATATATGGTATGCCATTAAAAATTAATTAGATATTAAATTCTAATTGAATCATTAAAAGTGATTAAATATTGAAAAATATAAAAATGCTTCACTTCAAAAAATTTAAAAATTAGATAAATTTTTTTAAAAATTAAGAAACCTAAAAGGAAAGAGGAAAAAGATTAAAACACATTCATCCTCTTAAGTGCAGATTATAAAAAAAATTCACTTAAAAAGAAAGAAGGGGTTTTTTTTTTTAATCCTTTTTTTGATATTTTGTACTTGTCTTTTGGATTTTTAAAAAATTTTAATGGCATGCTGTATCAACTAATTTTTTTTAAAAAAATTTGAAAAACACAAAAGACAATTCAAAAATTAAAAAATTCATTTTTAAGAAAATAATGTGTTTTGATATGCACTTTCGGAGCTGAAGAGCAATAAGGTTTTTTTTTAAAAAAAAAAATCTTTCTTCTTTTTTTTAGGTTTTGACTTTTGAAAAAAATAGTTCATTTATTTAATTTTTAAATTTTTTAAGTGAAGCATTTTTATATTTATTTTCTATTATTATATTTAATATTTAATCACTTTTATTGATTCAATTAGAATTTAATGTCTAATTAATTTTTAATGACATCTCACATCAGTAAAACTATTATTTTATTATGTTTTCTTATAGATTAGGGACATTTTGATGTGTTTTGATAGATCATGGAGCATTTTGAAACATGATACTTACTTCAGGGGGTATTTATGCAAATACTTCATTAAATTATCCCTCCAATAATTACGAAATCATCAAATATGTTAATCAAATAAATAAAAGGGACAAAGTAAATAACGTTTCAAAATTCAGGAGATGTGTTGACCAATTTTTAAAGTTTGGGGGACAAATTGACAAAGAGACCAAAGTTCGGGATACAAGTAAAATTTATCCAAAAAAAAGACCTGAGAAACGTTTGCAAAGGTTGGCAAGAAAAATAATTAGCTTAATAGGGAATTAGAGATGAGAGAGAATATATTTATGAGGGTCAAATTGGAAAAGGAAAAAAAATGTATAATATGAAAAAATTATAAGAATGAAAAAAAGGAGATAGAAAGAAGAAAAGGTGGGGAATAAACAAAAAATGAGAAAAAAAATACAAAGGAAAAAGACAAAAAAAAATGTTTGCGAAAAACAAAATAAAAAAACAGAAAAAAAGTACGGGATCGAAACATTTCTTTAGTGAGGAAAGAGGGTTTAAAAGAATTAGATAAAGATATGTATGATAAAAATTATTTAATTGAGAAATTAGAGAGAAAAATATATTTATGAAAGTAAATTTAGAGAAAGAAAACATGTGTAATAAGACAGAGAAGAAAGAGATATAAAAAGAAGTAAAGAGGGAAATAAATAAATGTGAATAAATCCGTTTTGATTTTGTAATACGTACAGATACAGATATGGATATTTTTTCCTTTTTTTCATGAAGAAATTAATGGATCAATTAATAAAATTAGAGTTTTTATTTTCTCATGAAAATTTGTTGTTCTAGCACTTCATTACATACTTCAAATCAGTTTTCGACTAAAAATTGAACCTCCTTCTTTCGGATTGAGGAATGGTGACGATGAGGTAAAAATAAATAGAGGAATGTTAATTTTAGACACTTTTTCAGATATTAGTTTTTGTAATGTGCTTTGCACACATTGTCGCGTTAGAGACACATGAAGAGTTTATTGTTTACCGAATAATAAGAAATTTATTTAGACAGCAATTTAAAGATTTTTGAATTTATTTTAAAAAGAAATATGTATAAAAATAACAATTGACGGAAAAATTAAGTAGGGATACATTTGAATAAAACTATTTTAACCAATTAAAAATCAAATAAGAACACGTGTGAAAAAAATTACTCTTATTGGAGTAGAGTGAAGAACATCATATTTTTAAAAAACACACAAAAAAATTAAAATGTAAAAAAAAATTCATAAAAAAAAAGCTAAGTGGAGGGACTGCTACGTGACAGCCCCCTATAAAAAAGAACTTTAACTCTTTTATGTATTATTAAACTAATCATTTCTTTTGACACATGATATCCCCACTTTCTCAAACAAGCCTACTTAATAACAAGTCATTTCTTTTAAACTTATTTACAAGAGTATCATTTTTTTGGGCTTCAAATCTAACACTATACATATTCCAAAAAAAAAAAAAAAATTCAATTCATAATCCCACACTAATTAAAAATTATATAAATACTAATCTAAATATAAATTAATGATTTATTTCGCGCCAAATAGATCATTAATATAAGTACTAGTATATCAGTATATAAATAAATGAATACTATATATATTAATGAAACTAATGCATATAAGGCGAAATAAATCGCCGTGCAAAACATGTCAGTTCGCAAGAGAAAGTTCAACAAAAAGTCATCCAATAATAAAGCACAACAAAGACCATCCCAGCAAGCAAGAAAGAAAAAAAA